GGGGAGTGCGGTGTGTAGGACCATGCAAGGGCATAAGAAACTTGGCAACAACAATTTGAGCCCTCAGCAGATCCATTGCTACCACCCTACTTACATCAGCCCATCAATCCCTTTCCTGCTTAAGAGACCTTGAGTTGGTTTTCTGACTTGCAACTGAAAGAATATTGACTAATAACTAGTATATTCTAGAAAGCTATGAGAAACAGGCATTACACTACATGGCTATAGTGAGCTGGGGCATGATGAGGTTTCCTCACAAAGTGATAATGTAAGAGTCATTAGAAGTCCATCAAAACGCAGATAATAAAATAGAAATTATTGGTTAATCTAACAATGATACAATTCTGGTATATGAGGCTTTTATTTAATAAAAAGTAACATAAAAATAACCTTTATTCAGAATTGATGGTGTATAGGCAATAACTGAGTTAAATTATGAATATTTTTTAATGCTGAGTATTAACCTGACTTTAGGGGGCAGTCCAGTAGAAGGAGCATGGACTTGGGGTCAGCAGGCCCAGGTGAAGCTCCCGTACTTCTACTCTTTGGCTCTAAGTCAGTTCACATTTTTGCCTCACTGAATTCATCTGGCAAACAAAAACTCTTTGTATAACTCATAGGGTTGTGTGGAAAAAATAAAATAATAACAATAAAAGTTAATAAACAGGTTATCTCATAAGTAAATGATTTATCTCATAAGTAAAATTCCCTTTACTCTAGTAAAAATACACATACAGAATTTTCACAGTATGAATATTTAGCCTTTGCAAGAGGCTTCTAAACACACACACACACACACACACACACACACACGCTTCTGAGAGTGTGGAAGAATTACACTATGGGTCCGTAGCAACAGAAAGCTGCTTGGCCAGGAAAGAGAATTAAAGCCTACTGTTTCAGTGCATTGAAAGGAAAGGGGGCTTTTGTTTGGTTTGTTTCATTATCATATTCTATAGATGGTATTTTTCCAAAACTCCTCTCCAGTGTAAGCTATACTATTAACGTCCACAGGGTAAGTGATACCATAGTGATATATTTGAGTTCACTCCCATATGTTGCCAGTATTCAGAAGAGAAACACATTTCATTGGAGGAAAGAGAAAAACAAAAAAAAATGGAAAAACTGTCTACATAGAAATTTTTAATATAATTTTAAGTAGTATAAATATCTGAGAAAAGAGATATTAAGTACATCTCTCCAAAAGAGTAAACTCTGTTGTGTAAAATCCACCTGATTGCTCCTAAGATAGAGTCCAGGAGGTGAAAAAAGAAAGAAAGAAAGCCTCATAATATCAACTATTGTTTGTTGAGAGGCTATTACCTGCCAGACAGAGTACTAGGTGCTTAACCTCATTATTTCATTGACTCATCTTAAAAAAACACCCTAAACTTTATTATACTGTGGGAGATTTGCAGGGAAAGAGGACCTAACTGTAAAAGATCACACAGGTATAGGTGTATGACCCCCAGATATCTGACCTCAAGCTCATGCTTTTAACTGCCATATGCCCTATCCCCCCATCACCTGTTTCCTCTGTTACTAACGTCTTGCATTAGTGTGGTATGCTTGATATAATTGATGAGCCAATGTTAATATACTATTATTAACTAAAGTCCATAGGGACATTAGGGCTCACTTTTTGTATTGTAAGAAAGTATTAGATTTTTAAAAAAATAATTATTGTTTTTTTATTTCATTTTTCAATTACAGTTTGCATTCAATATTATTTCATATTAGTTTCAGGTGTACAGCATAGTGGTTAGACAATCATATACTTTACAAAGCGTTCCCCCCAATATTTCCATTACCCAGCTAGTACCATGCCTAGTTATTACAACATTATTGACTACATTTCCTATGCTATACATTACATCCCCATGACTACTTTCTAACTACCAATTTGTACTTCTCAATCCCTTTACCTTTTCACCCAGTCCCTCAACCCTTCTCCCCTCTGGCAAACATCAGTCTGGTTTCTTTTCTTTTTATCTATGAGTCTGCTTCTATTTTCTTTGTTAATTTATTTTGTTCTTTAGATTCCACATATAAGTGAAGTCATATGGTATTTGTCTTTCTCTGACTGACTTATTTCACTTAGCACAATACCCTCTAGGTCCATCCACACTTGCAAATCAGATTTTGGGGTTCTTTTATGGCTGAGTAATATTCCACTGTATATTTGTACCACAGCTTTCTTATCTGCTTATCAACTGATGGACACTTGAGTTGCTTCCATATCTTGGCTATTGTAAACAGCGCTGCAATAAACATAGGTGTGTATATATCCTGTCAAATTAGTGTTTTGGGCTTCTTCCAACAATATACTCAGAAGTGGAATCCCTGAGTCATAAGGCAGTCCCATTTTGAAATTTTTGAGGAACCTCCCTACTGCTTTCCACAGTGGCTGCACCAACCTGCATTCTCACCAACAGTGCACGAGTGTTCCCTTTTCTCCACATGTTCGCCAACACAGTATTAGTTTCTAACTGGCCTACAGTGATCACGTATTCTTTTGATGCTGCATGATATTATATTTATAATAAATAACAACCTGCCCATATGCCAAAACTAAATTATTTCCCACTATTTCTCCATGTTGCCGTGTTATCTTTCTTCTAGGTAGGTAGGGGGAGCTAGAAAGCAAGATATAATGAAGAAAAACTACTTTAAATGATTGCCCCTTTATCAAGGTGGTTGATTCACTGCACTCTAGAGAAGCTTCAACAAAGTAATACAGACACCATGCAGTGCATATGAAGAAGTCTGAATGAGTGAAAGAGGAATCAGGAGAGTAAACAGAAGTAGTGTCCACCTGGCTGGCCTAGGACACACTCAGGAAGGAGTGCTCCAGACCAGAGGGAAAAGAAAGTGACTTCTTTATTTAACAAACTGCACTAGGATTTCTCTATCCATTGACAGAATGTGGTTGCTGAAAATGCAAACAGGGATGACAGGACACAGAACTGTATAACCTTTGGCGAGGGGGGGGGAGGAGGGGGGGATGTAGAAAATAGAGAAAGACTGCGTGAGGGTCAAATTCAGCGTCAGTGTCTCTCTCACATCCCAGCAGCACATCACTGGACTCTCCCAGGATTTCCTGACTCTACATTTTGTAGCAGGCCCAGAAGACTGCCACTGAGTCACCTGCAATGCTGCTGCCCCGGATACGTGACACACGTCGGCACTTGAATTCACAAAAGAAGAGCCCATGCTGCTTAACGCAGCCACTCTTGCTCACCCGCAGGGGCATTCCCCATTCACGGCCAAGGCCACCCCTGAAATTGTCTAACACTTTTCAAATGCTCTTTTATTCCCAGCCAGCTACATATGGCCTATGAGACTGGCCTGACAGAGCCAAAGCAGGGCTGTCCCTCAGCCAGTTGGCAGCAGGTATGGCTACAATCTGTGGCAATGAAGACAGCACTTCAATGAAGCAGGCACCTTCCCCAGACAGGACTCCTTGGAGCCATCAGAGGGCCTTGGCCCCGGCACCAGACACTCTTTAATGCCAGCTGACAGCCTGCAGCCAGAGGGCCAGCGTCCAGGGGCAGTTCATTCAAAGCACTGATTTGATTGCTGTTTTGGTTACTTATTTTAATGTATCCTTATGCATAATATCCAGTGTTTCTCCCTACAGAGGGCCACGGGTTATTCTTTAAATAACTGGCACACTGAAAACTAACACAAAACAAAAACAAGCATTACAATCATAATATTAATATATGTGTTTACGTTGAAGTGAAATGGCAACTAAATGGGCATGAGAAACTCTTTCCTTAGACAGAACACAGATTTACTTACCCTCCCAACTTGCAGTCCCCAGTCCCACCTTTCCAGGCTCTTACAAACTTCGGATTGGCCCACAGGGACACTGGATTTAAGGTTGCCCCTGAAAAGTAAGATCCCACTGGACTCAAGATCACAAAGATCATGGCTTTGGTAGGCTTCTTGACTCCAAGAGAAGGCTGCAATAAAGTAAAAGTACACACAACTGTTCATTTAAAATGTAGATACCAGTCTTAAAGTCTAGAATAGATCTGTAACTATCTCCCAAAGGGGCCATCCAAGGACTGGAGCTGTCACTTCTAACATTGAGTTACACAAAGCCTGATGGTCTTCTAAGAAAACACAGAGCATGGAGCACATGAGTTTCATTTTGCTTTGCTTTCTGAGTTGTTTTGATTTTAGAGAAAAGCAAATATGTCCCTTTTATTGTTAGTAGGGTTTTTAGTGAAGCATATTTTTAACTAGCTATATAACACCCTTTAATGTTGCATTGATTAGAAATTGAAAAAGGAAAGAGCTCAGTCATGATTTTAGTTTTGGGGGGTGCAATATATTATTTGCTTTTCTAACTCCCCTTCTGTTTTCACACACATGCCAGGGCCTCCAGCAGCAGGTAGTGTAGAGAAGTGACATTACCAGACCTGACTGTGACAGATACCAGACAGCAAGAGTGTGGCTACGCTAGAGGCAGACACCAGAGAAGAAAAATATATCTCCCCTAAAGGCAGAGGGTAGACTTGGGAAATTGTATCAAGAACGACAAAGACAGAAGATGGCCTTTCCCACAAACATCCACCATAAGCCAACAGTGCAAAATTATACAGATTCCTTCAGCACAACAGCAGTTATAAGTAATTACTGTCAGGTGTTTATTAAGGAGAAAAATTGAGAGACGGGGCATTTTAAGGGCTGCCTATCATAGAGGCAACAGAGGTCACTGTGCTATCCTGCCCCACTCAGGACCACAGAAAGTAAGAAAACAAGTCAGGACTATTCCATGGAGAGTCCTGGGACATAAAATGCTTGTGTCCAGTCTTCCCTAGAGCCTAGTCTGGCTGGATGGGGGTAGACATCTGTCAGAGAAAGAATGAAAAGAAACTCAATTCCAGTAGATTGTGTGGCTTTTTTAATGTTTAATGAAACAAGTTGAAAGTGGAATTAGGGATATTTTGTTCTGAATTTTAATTATATTTCCCAGTCCCCTGCCTAGACCCTACTCCCCTTACCTAGGCCCAGATCATCAAGAATCAAGTAGGCAGCCCTAGCTGGGCGGCTCAGACGGCTGGAGCATTGTCCCCTGCACCAAAAGGTTCCATTCCTGGTCAGGGCACATCCCCAAGGCTGTGGGCTTAATCCCAGGGTGCATACAGGAGGCAACCAATAGACGTTTCTCTCTCACCTCTCTCTGTCTCTCTCTCCTTTCCTCTCTCTCCAAAACCAATAAAAACATATCTTCAGGTAAGGATGTTTTTAAAAAAGAAAAGAATCAGGTAGGAAAAATATTCACAAGCATTAAAAAATGTGTTTGTATATAGTGCAGCGGAGGTCTGGGAGAGGGGTGGGAGCGGGGGCGGGAGACAGTCAATGGGGGTAAGAAAAATGAGACATCTGTAATACTTTCAACAATACAGATAATTTTTTTTTTAATGTGCCTGTATATGGTCACACTGATGCCACCTGAAAGGCATGCCACCCTGAGGAAAAGAGATGATTCTGATGGCATTGCATGTGAACACGAGGACCAAGCCTGGGCGGCCACAGAGCAAATGGACACTGGATGACGGGTAACCAAGTTAAAGAAATTATTCGGCGAACAACAGGGTTTTGTTTATTTGCACATTTGTGTTTATTCTGTAATAGGGGCTGAATGGGGTCCCCCCCCAATAAAGAGTGAAGAGACTTAAAACTTCATTTGCCTTTTTCTGTTTCATTGTTCAGGAGAGAGCGCCTCAGAATATACACACCTGCCTTTCTTCCCAGCTTTGATGAAAACTGACTATCTTATCTCTGCATTTGTATTTACCAATCAGTTAAGTACAAATGATCCCTTCCTATCAGAGGATTTTTGAAGCTTAATATTTTAATTTTTATGGACCCTCATATTGAGTAATTAAGAGAAGCTTCTCAACATAATTTAGAAGTATAATAAGGCACAGTCTCAGTAATTTATCTAGCTTCTAAGTTTCTGAATAAAATCGCTTTATTTGTGAGTAAGCATTTTATTAGATTATCACATAAATTCCTGGGCTTTTTTTACTCTGAACTCATGTATTTTGCAACCTTCATTATATTTAAAAAGTAACCATATCTTGCCGAGACGGTGTGGCTCTCTGGTTGAGCACTGACCCAGGAAGCAGGAGGTCACAGTTTGATTCCAGGTCAGGCCACATGCCGGGGTTGCAGGCTGGATCCCCACGGGGGGATGGGCAAGAAGCCGCTGATCAATGACTCTCTCTCATCATTGACATTTCTATCCCTCTCTCCCTCTCCCTTCCTCTCTCTAAAATCAATAAAAAATATTTAAAAAAAATAAAAATAACTCACCATCATGGAAATTTTTTCCAAGATAAATTTCATCATTCATTTTTCTTTCTCCAACATTAACTAACAGGCAAACTTCATACATTCCACTAGGTGGTAGTAAAGAGAGCACACATGGAAAGTGGGAGAATTCTATGCATTAAGTCTATTTCTGGAATAAAATATCCCAATAAACCTTTAAGTAATACTTCTTTTCTTAGAAAGCAGGCAAATTTTGGACTAGAATTTTTCAGTGCTGACAGAAAATGTGTTTATGTGTACTAACATTTTATTTTCTGAAATTTAAGCAAGATCGACTGGCAATTTTACAAGTACTTCAAGTACTGGTATTGATGACAACTTAGTCACCTTCATCCTTAAATAATTAGTTATACTGACTGTCTTTCCATGAAAAGAACTCTGTGACTCTACTGAAAATGGTCACACTGCTGAAAGAGTGGGAGTAAACCAAATGGAACTGCATCAGGAAGGGAGCTGGCTGGTTGGGTTTCTATCAAGGATCCATTTGTTTCTGCATCTTAATTCTCCCTTCTATCCTTGAAGGCAATTTAAGTCCTGTGCTACTGCTACAGTTAAAAGTAGTTTCTTATATAATATTAATCAAATGGCATAAACACAATTCTATAATGACAAGGTCAGGCTTCTGATCAAATAAACCAAAAGCCATATAAATAGAGAAAAGAAATGAAAAGACAACAGCTGATAAGTTGTGTAAATCATTTTCAAACGTCTCATTTCCTTATGAACACTTTGATTTTTTAATTCTTCTTCACTAGTTTCTTTGATGATTGTAATACTAATGAATTGAAGAGGGCATTTTTTTTAAAAAAAAACAAACATGGAAAATGAGGAATATAAATCTCAGATGCAGAGTATATAACTTCTCAAGGGACCACAATAACTTTGAAAATGAAATTCTGATGCGTACAAAACAATCAAGACTCTTCTTACTTTATATTGTACCTCACAAATACATACACAAGGGTATTAAATACATATATGTTTTGCACAGAATAACTAGGCACTTGGGCGTATGAAAAACAGACATGTCGCAGTGAAAATTACACTTCTGTCTGAGTCAGTCAGAAGATTAGTTTATAAAAAGGCAGGATTTCAGAGGTGACCTGAATGACGGCAGAAGGAGCTTAGTGAGCTGAGGAAGGTAATAGTCCCATGTTTTGAAAAGCGCCGTGGCAACGTGAGGCCTGAGAATAATTCAGCCTGGGCAAGACACATAAGATGGAGAAGTAGTGCANTAGTGAGCTGAGGAAGGTAATAGTCCCATGTTTTGAAAAGCGCCGTGGCAACGTGAGGCCTGAGAATAATTCAGCCTGGGCAAGACACAAGATGGAGAAGTAGTGCGGTAATTGGGAACAACGGGAAATTTTTCAGAAAGAGCAGCGTGGCTCTTTTCTTGAAATCCAAAGAACGACCTGTTTTTGTTTTGTTTCTTCAATCTTTAAAAGCTTAGAGAAGAAAATGGTAAGGAATGCTGGGCTGAGGGGCGGTCCCTGCAGGACCTTGCGTATGCCTCACAAAAGGGATGACAAAACCACACAGTGTTTTTAGAAAAGAACAGTTAACCAACTGGTGAAAGATTAAAAAATAAAATAAAAAGATCCTCAACTTCAGATCTCCTCTTAACTCAAAGCTCTTTTTACAACAGCAAAGTTTAAGGGGGGGAAAAAAGTCAGTGGAGTACCTGAGATTCCCTGACCTGAAAGAGCTCCATCCGGGGCTCGCTCCCCTGCACCCTCAGCCTTCCCCACAGCACTGGCCACCTACAGGCCTCAAGCTCAAACCACAGGGAGCCCCTTTCCCTTCGGATTCCTCCTCACTTCCTACCCTTGGATGTTTTCCTGTCCTACTCCCTCCACCTGGAATGCTCCCCATCCACCCCCTCCCCATTGCAGACCGAAATGTGTCCACCCCAAATTGATATGTGGACGCTCTAACCACCAACCCACTGTATTAGGAGATAAGGCCTTTAAGAAGGTAATTAAGGCTAAATGAGGTCAAAAGTGTGGAGCCCTAATCCAACAGGGCTGGTATCTCTCTAAGAAGTCCAAGAGACACGGGAGGATGAGCCTCAGCCCCCTACCTCACCCCCTTCCCTCCTCCCCGCACGCAGAAGGTGGACACCTACAGGGAGGCCTCACCAGACACCATCCCTGTTGGCACTTTGACCTTGGACTCCCAGCCTCCAGAACTGTGAGATAATAAACTCTGGTGTTTAAGACACCCAGTCTGCGGTATTCTGTCACGGCAGCCAGAGTAGACTAATGCATCCCCTCTCTCTCCTATGTAATACAAACACTTCCATCTCCATTGAAATGTCATTTAAATGTAAGTTCAGGAAATGAGAACCTCTGGCCAGGGTTAAGTGCCTGTGCTACGCTCTGTTGTAGCATCCTGCACTTCCTCAGGTTTAGACAAATGACTTCCACGCTTTCTTACGACTGTTTATTTAATTTCCTGCCTCTTGCTAATCTGCATACTTCATGGAGTCCAAGACCATATTTATTTCCTATACATAGCACCACACATGGTAATACCAAGTGAACTGAATACTTGCCAAAAGACTGTCCATTTCAATAAGACGCTGTTTATAGAAAAGGGCTGTGAAAACAGCCAAGAT